TAAAACTACCAAGAAGTATGTTACATTCATATGAAAAACTTTAAGTATTCCTGAAACAAAAATGTGAGAAACTTGATAGACAAAAAATATCAGTCTTTATGAATGAATTAATAGATTTCACATGATTAAAAAAATGGCAAAAAATATTTTTGGAAGTAGAAATACTTGTTTTAAACTAGATATGTAAAAACTAAATGCAAGAATATCCAATGCAACTTTGAAATAAAGATGATAAATGTGCAGGGACTCTAACTCCGTGATAAAGTATTTCAAAAATTAGCACAATGGTACTGATTCCTAAATATTTAAGCAGCAATAAAAGATTTTAAAGTTAAAGACTGAATTTCACATGGACATTTAGTACATGATAGATTTGGTGTTTTGTATCAGTGAAGGATTATGGAATATTTAGTATATAGTATTTGGATTTCAGGTAGACATATGAATACTATAGAGTTAGAGACTCTTATACATTTTACCAAAATAAATTTCTGATGTGTCGAGGTGAAAACTGAAAAACTGAACTAAAAACTTAGAGAAGACACCTGAGCTTTAAAAAAATAGTTTTGTATAAAGATGCCAGTTTTAAGTGTGATATGAAAAAAGACATAAAAGATTTAATAAATTCACCCACATAAAATAATAAAATTATTTAAAAGTATATAAGCAAACCAGAAAAATGGCAAGTAAAGAAAACATTTTCCATTTATATCAAAGAGATAATTTCTTTATGCTATAGGGAGCCTTTTATATATCAGTGAGGAAAAGAACAATGACTGTATTTAAAAAATGGGCAAAAATAGTAGATGAAAATAAAGGTGTTAATTTACACTTACAGTAAGGAGATGTGTGAGTCAAAATTGTGGGTTACTTATTTCACTTCTAAAGTTGGAAAAAAATAACATATTTCTTGGGACAATAAGTTGTTAAGGGATTGGAGAATCTTTACTATTTCCAAGTGACAGTGAAAATTGTTACAATTATATATCAAAAATTTAAATGCACCTAAACCTCTGACCCAACAAGTCCACATTTGTCCTAGAGGAGAATGACACATGTACTAGGATGTTAGTTGCAGTGTTGTTGGAATTGCAAAAGGCTGCAGCAACTCTGTCAGGTATTAGTAATGTAAACCATAAGATACATGTATAAAGGAATTCTCCAAAGTCACTAAAATAAAGATGAAAATACTGTTTTTACTAATTGTGTTACAGGGGAAACCCAAGTTAGGAGCTCCCCCTTCCTCGGTTTTTGTCTCACTCGCAAGAGATGAATTCAGACGAAAGTCAACAAGTATAGCGGAAGTGACATAGCAAGTTTATGAAATACACTTGAGCATGAAGCTGCAAGAAGGCATCCAGCTAGTCTGAGTGTCCTGACTATTGGGATTTTAGGGGTTTTATGCTCGTAACCAGCTTCTAGGTTGCCCCTTCGCCTCCCCTCTCTAGACCTGGGGATACAGTTTCAAAGGCTTTCTCTCCCAGGTGGTGGAAACAATACATACAGAATGTCAAGGGCTTCCCTCCTCTTGTGCTATCATAGTTTTTCTTGGGATTTTGGACACCTGGCAATCTTATCTGAACAGGCTCAAGACGGCTTACTTAATCTCCCTCCCCCTCTCCACCTTGATTTGCTATCTATCATGCATAACAGTATGAGAAAACCTCTAAGGTTTATCATAAAGTGAAAAAAAGATGTAGAAGCTGTATAATTTAAATTATAACATGGACAAATAACTTGTCCCACTTCCAACTTGCTATTTTCATGAAGCTTTGCCTCCTTATTTGCTCACCGGGATAAAACACCTTTTTTTGTTGTTGTTGTTGTCTCTGCAACTCTATTAAATGTCTAACTTTTGTCCAATCACGGGGGCCAATAAAACTGTTCATTCCAAGCCTCCTTTCCTATCTGACCTACCTTAATATCAATAACAGAAATATGCTCAGTTGCGCCCTAATGGGTGACAGAGGTTTGGATATAGTTAGTGCTTATTCAATACTTTTCTAACAGATAAATGACTAATTGATTTGCAATCGTTAGAAAAATGATTTTCTTTATTAAAATGGAAAATATTTTATTGTATATGTGTACATCTAAGATGAAAAATTACATTCCTTGAAAATAAGTCCATAAAGCATACAAAATTATGAAAATAATATTTAATTAATTTAGCGACTTAGAAATACTACTAATTTTAGTGCACATGTTCTTCTAGGGTTTTATCTATATCTTATTGATTTATAAGTATTTTTTTTAGTAGACGTCTACTCTACATACCACCAATTAAATTATTCTTATGGACATTTCCAAGTCTATGTGCATGCAATAAATAACTTTAGCTTATCTGGAAAGGGGTTTAGAGCATTGGCAAGAATTTCAGTTCACAAAATTCACAAAAACATTCCATTTTCCCTGGAGCTCCTTTTGCTTCTGTGACATAACCAAAAGCTTTATTGGTCAGAAGTACAAGCAGCTGATTTCTTAACATTAGCCTAATTTCAAAGTAGACCTGTTCTACTTTACTTTCATTCTCACTTTTATAAATAGAAAGTTAAGTATCAAATTTTGCCTTGTAATTGACACCAGAATTTTACATTCCCTGGCAGGTGAGAATGAACTTTAGGCCTTATCCTTTGCACAATATTAACCAGAGAGAAAGTTAGGGAAGAGGAGAGACAGGCAGAATTTGTGAGTTTTTTCTGACTTTCTCTTAGATGAGAGCTGCATATAGCTCCCAAACATCTGAGGCTATATTACTGATAGCTGGGGTAAGAATCTGAATTTCAGATCATATTTTAAATTGTTCAGTGGTCTTTTATTAGTATAACATTCCACCTTTTAAAGTAAAGCTTGACCTAGAAACAGAAAAGTTCTGAGCTCAAATGTATACAGTGGGTGAAACACCCAAAGTGAACACATCCTGTAATTATTATCGTGGGTAAATAAAAGAACACCCCAAATCCCAGAAAATTTCCTGTACCCTTTTTACCTAATAACCACTCCATCTTATTCAAGGATAGGCACTGTTGTTACTTTTCTCATCACAGACTAAGTTTGCCTGTCCGTGAACTTTATATAAATGGAGTAAAATAACATGTATTTTATAGTGGGCAGTTTTTTAAATTCACCATTATGACTGTCAAATGAATCCATATTGTTGGGTTTAAGTGCAGTTTGATTATTTTCATTACTATTACATATTCCATTCCTGAATATATCACTGTTAATTTAGCTATTTTAGATGGACATTTGGGGTATATTCAGTTTGGGGTTATTATACACGTTGTTACTATGACCATTCTCTGTATGCTTTTTATGCTCATGTACCCACATTTCTGCTGGACATACACTTAGGAGTGGAATGGTCAGATCATGGGCAGCTTAAGTGCAGCTTAAGTATATGCTTCCAAATAGTTTTCTTGAGGGTATTTCAAGTCATCCTGACAATTATAATGGTTTCTAAAAGAGAAATAACTTTTCTAGAGTCTTACTAGTCTGAATTAATTTGTGTATATTTAATGATTCTACTTCATCAGATAAGAAATATAGTCTATATTTGTTTGGAAATGAAGAAGCCATGACAACAAGCAGAATAGTCTGTGGAATGAACTTAGGTGTAAACAAAAATGTCTGATTCAACTGGCTCTGCATAGTATCCCAAGAAGCAGGAGGCATGAGATGGCTAGAGAGGAGAGGAGAGGAAGAGGACAAGACAGGAGAAGGGAAAGAGACAGATGGGAAGGAACAGAGGATGCTGATTCTGCCAAACTCTGGTGAAATGGACTGGAGATATGATCAGAGGAAAAATTGGGCACAATGTTAAAAATAACAGCTTTCCTCAGTTACAAGACTTGGTGTTCTTCTTCAGGTTTGGTCATAGTCTACAGTTTGGGGAGGATAATTCCTAGCTAGCTGGCGACTCAGTGACCTAACTCAGGTGTTCAAGGTAGGGCTGGAGCATCTTGAAGTAAGGAAAGAAGCTCATCCACATAGAGAACTGAGGACTTCCTGGGACCTTGGGCCCTGCAGACAGTACTCAGGAGGTGGTGGATCAAGGAATGCAAAGACCGGTATACTTCTTGGAGTGAGCCTTTTTCTGAGACTGTGCTATGTATAGTAAGTCTTTTCCAGCAACACATTTGTTTTAAAGACACAGGGGATATAAAAATGATGAGTAGGACAAATGTAAATCAGTAGCGTTTGCCAGCAGAGTCACAAATTTGACAATTATTCAGCTTGAAACGATCCTTGAAAAGTTTTGGACACATGTCTTAAGAGGCATTTCCAGCAGTAGAAATTGGCAGCAGTCTGTGTGCACACACAACACTTTTACCATCTCAAACCAGATGTCACAGGGGAGACCAACGGGAGACTCAAGGGAGGTCAATCTGTCGTTTTAATTTCACAGATGGGATCTTGGAACTGGGGTGAAGATACTCTTTACAATTGGCTTCATTTGGAAGGCATCAAATCTATTCCTTGGAGAACAGGGTCAGGGCAAGATGAGGAGCAACCAAGAATCTGGGCTGTAACCTAGACTATTAATGATGTGGCCTAAAGAGATATACACAGTTTGTAGGCGGGGGCGGGGGAAGGGGTGCAAAAGATATGAAACAGAGGGGCTTCTCGTGGAGTGGCAGCAAAGAACATTTTGTCTTATGGTAAGTTTGCAGATAGAAACTCTAGCATCCACTAGCCCTTTCTGAGAGGGAGCGTCTTTCTTCCTCAAGTATATATCATAATAATAGTAAATCCTCCTAAATTCTCCTTTCCATCCTACTCCCCAGGTTCTGACAGGGTGAGGGTAAACTTTCTTTCTAGTCACTCACTGAATCAATTCCTAATTCCTTTTTCCTATGTCTCCGTGCCCAGAAATATCTGAAGTGTTCTTTCTGTTGTTTTCAGATTTATGTAACAGTAGCTACTGTCTCTTTTTACTGTTCATGAACCCTAAGCCTATAAGTCTTGATTTAAAAGAGCATTTCTTCCTCTTTCCCCAGGTTTGCATCAGCTGAGGAATTTCACTAAAAATATTCCTGACCTGAAAGTGCCTAAAGCCTGGTTTCAAGAGCCCCGGACACATCGGGATATCATCAGGTTTGTGCTCCTTATTCTTCTGTTGCAGGATGTTAAAACGGAACCCTTCCTGCCTGGGGATGTTTACAGACTACCCAAAGCTGAGAACCCTTGGTGTCCAATAACAACTTACTCCTAAGCAAAGGGCTAAGTTACATTTTTTTCCGGGTTGGAAATTCATTAAATTAGAGGGGCCTGAAAGAATGCTATTCCAAATTAAACAAACATATTACTAATTTATATCAGTTTAGGAAAACCTTCTGATTGTAATCCTTCTCTTCCTAATATACCTTACCAATATATCAATGCATTCTTCTGTAATTACACGTGTTGAATAAAATATTTAAAAATGAGAGAGGAGGTTGGTTTCTAAATTGAATTGGGGGCAGAGTGAGCACATATACGGTCAATAAAAATTTAATGAGATGACCAACCATTTTAACTGGAGTTCATATACTCCAGTTTTTACTTATTTGGAGTTCATATATTCAGTACTGGAAGGATGTTACTGAAAAGTTCTCATGAAAAAGCTACAAGATTGGTCCTGTTACCACTCTAGAGATGAGAAAACTAAGAAATTAGATGAATTACTCAAAGTCACAAAGTCACAAGATGTAGAAATGCAACTTTAAATCACGCATCTTGGTCCCAAACTTATGCTGTTATGAACTATACTACATTATTTCTTTGAAATCAACATATCCTATGAAACATGCTAATATGCTATGATTCTATTTTAAAAGATGTAGCAGACTCTGGTTGTCTCTCCCACACACAAAAAAATCTGTTCTGCCTTTTTTATTTCTTATCACATCGTCACATACCTGTAGTCTTAATTTCCTATATTGCAGCCAGGTGTGTCCTGGTGTTTAAATGTTCACAATGAAATATGAGTACACACAGATTAAGCATGTTCCAGTCTGGGCTATAAATCATTGACAAGTATTCTGACATTCTTTCTTTTCCCATGTCATGGTCTGGAGTTCAGATATGTGCTTTAGGAAACTAGAAGATTTGGTCTAAAACATTAAATACCTTTTCATATTTTAAAACATATTTTGATATTTTGGAGTCCTTTTTAAAGCAATGTACAATAGATGTTACCTTTATTGGTATAAAAGACAAGCAAAATAAATAGGAATCTTTAAATTTCCTGTTGGGAATGAGAGAGTGAGCAAGTGAGCGCTCTGAATTACAATTTTAAAGGTGTTAGGAACAATTCCTTTATTTTGAGGAGGGAATAAAAAGTGGAAATTTAAGAAAAAGTTATAAATATGAACAACGATTTCAAGTGATTATCATTTCTAGCAATAATGCTCTTTTTTACTCATTCTGACAATAGGAGTCACATAGACTCATGAGGAGGAGCTCCATCTGTGTTAACACTAGTGACATTTGATATCTTGTGTGAATTTAGTTCTATGGGTCTGACTTCTCTTCAACATAATAACAAAGCAAATTTTGTTTATTCCCACAATTACTAAAATTTAGAGAAAGGACATCAAATTCCAATTTCAACTGTATATCTATCTATCCTGTGATACACTTCCCTCAGAAAGAAATTAATACTAACTAAATCTACTTTTGCAACCAGAAACTTAATATTGTATAAACTCTGCCAAGTATATCCTCCACTTCCTACTTCTATCTGCTAAACCATCTATTTCCATGTGTTCTTAGCTTACATATCACCGCCACAGAGAAATCCTATCTTGCCACACTTCTGAGGTTTCCAGAATTGTTCTGCCAAAAGGCTAGAGTCATATTTGGATGTGAACGTGTATCCATGTGCAGAAGCAGATGTATGTATGTGACTAGTGGGGAAGAAAAAAGCGTGCTGTAACATTTATACATTAACCAGCAAATTGTGATTGTTCTCCATATCAGAATATTTAACTTTTCAAAAATCTACTGGCTGTGTGGTGATATCATTGGGACATTAATTTGCATTTTCTTCACTACAAATGTGATTGAGCACCTTTTCATATGTTTGCTATTTTGTTTTCTTGTGAAAGCCCTGCAGCTGTCTTTTCTTCTATTGAGTTGTCTTTTTCATTTTGATTTGTAGGGGTTTTTTTCCTTCATTTTTTAAATTGTTGTTTGGTTGCAGCCATCCCACCTTTCTCCCCACTGCCCTCCCCGGGCCCGTCCCCCGCCCCGCCCTGCACTCCCACAGTCAATTCCCCGCCTCTCCTCATTGTCTGTGCCCAGGAATCCTCTATTCATGTTCCTTGGCTTGCCCCTTCCCCTTCTTTCCCCCATTATCTGCCTCCCTTCTCCTCTCTGGTCCTGTATTTTGGAGTTTTTTGATGCTTATGTCACTGAACACAGGTCCAACTGCCAGTGCTTCTAAAGCCAATACTCAAGAGGCAGGTGCTGATGTAAAGGAAAATGGTATATTTTCAGGTGCCATCAGCTAGAAGATGAGGGACTATTGTCTCAAAGCGCAGATCTCCATATATCAGTGGAGGCAGAGGTTTTTATTGGGAGGGAGAGGGGAAATGGAACAAAGAGATCAAGGGATGAGGTTGCAAAGTTCTCTACATGCAGACCAGTACAGTCCATTCCAATAAGATAAGTGATGGTCCAGTGTGCACCATCCTGATTTACACAGCCTGGCTCACATCATCCTGGCTCTGCGGTTGAAGATCATCAAATCTTTAGGAGCTGGGATGCCTGAAGGTCAGAGTCTGTATCTTTTGAAGTTAGTTCTTAGGTCTCTTACATAATCATGCTATTTATCTGCAAGCTGCATGTTCATCAGAGTCCGCAATTACAGAAACAATGTCAGAAGAACGGCGGGGTGGGTTATGGTTCCCCACTGCTGCAATTTTCCATTGTTACACTTAGATGACTTGTAAATGTTTTCTGTTCTGTTACTGCCTCTTTATTCTCTTTTAAAAATATTTTATTTATTCTTAGAGAGGGGAATGGAGGGAGAAAGAGAGGGAGAAAAACATCAGTGTGTGGTTGCCCCCTCCCCGGCGTCCCCCCAGCTAAGGACCCGACCCTCAACCCAGGCATGTGCCCTGACTGGGAATCAAACCCATGACCCTTTGGTTCGCAGGCTGGCACTCAATCCACTGAGCCACACCAGCCAGGGATTCCTCTTTATTCTTTTAATGGTATTTTTCTTGAAAGATGTACTTAGTTTTGATGTAGTCACACTTTCACTTTAGGGAGGTTGTGTGGAATGTTTGTGTATGTGTGTGTGGGTTCTGAAAGAATTATTTTTGTCATCCAGGGTTATGGCATTTTACATATGTGTGTATGTGTATGTGTGTGTGTAATAGCAACTTTGAAATTTTGTTTAACCTTATCTATAGAAAGATTATACCTTAAGATTTATATTCCTATGACTCAGGAATTCCACTATTGGTCATTCCACAAGGGGATTTTATGTACATGTGCACAAGTATTACACACACGCATACACACAGAGTAATTTTTCCCCATTCTTATGATTAAATTGTTTGAAAAAATTGGTACCCTTCTCCAAAAATATATTTTGGATCTGTATTCCACAACACATAAAAATCAATTCTCAGTCAATTATAGATGAAACAATTAACAGTAAAAGGGCCAGCATTTTAGTAAATAATACATGACCTTAGATGAGAGAAAAATTCTTACAGTTCATAGACATCACCATCACCACCACCATAATTACAAATATTGGCAGTTTTATTTAATTTTTTCAATATTTAGGCTTCCCGCCCCTCATTTTATTAGCATACTGAAATGTAGAGACCATCCAATACTGGGAAGAATAGATGTAATAGGAGATGTTATCTCTGTCTTCTTAGTTACAGAAGAATGATTTAACCTCTAAATATGTTTGCTATGATTTTTGTAGATATCTTTTTAAATTAGATTAAGGAAACTTCCTTTTATCCCTGGTTTGATGGAATTTTATATGAAAATTGGATTATAGGATTTATCACACTTTTATTTGGCATCTATTAAGATGATCATATAATTTATTTCACTTTAATCATATCGTTCAATGTGATTGATTTTTAAAAGTTTAATCAAAGTAGACTTCTGAGGATAAACCAAGGTAGGTCATGATGTTTTAGTTTTGCTTTATACAGCCAAATTTTGATTTAGAAAATTTGCATCAATATTCATAAGTGAGATAAGCTTTTTTGTGTCTGGTCTCTCTATTCTGTTCCATTGATCTATGCTGTGTTCTTATGCCAGTACCGGACTGCTTTGATTACAGTGGGCTTGTAATGTAGTTTTGATGTCAACAACTGTGATCCCTCCTGCTTTGTTCTGCTTTCTCAAAATTGCTGCAGCTATTCGGGGTCATTTATGTTTTCATATAAATTTTTGAAATGTTTGTTTTATGTGTGTAAAATATGTCATTGGTATTTTAATAAGGATTACATGAATCTATAAATTGCTTTGGGTAGTATGGACATTTTAATGATGTTAATTCTTCTAAATCATGAACACAGTATATGCTTCCATTTATTCATGTCTTCCTTAATTTCCTTCTTTAGTGTTGTATAGTTTTCTGTGTAAAGGCCTTTTATTTCCTTGGTTAAGTTTATTCCTAGGTACTTTATTTTTCTTGTTGCTATAGCATATGGGATTTTTTTCCTGATTTCTGCTTCTTCTATTTCATTGTTGGTGTATAAAAATACCATTGATTCCTGAATATTGACTTTGTATCCCACTGTTTTGCCAAATTCACTCATTAGGTTGAGAAGTTTTTTGGTGTAGTCTATGGGATTTTCTATGTACACTATCATGGCATCTGCAAACAATCATTGTTTTACTTCCTTCTTTCCAACTTGGATGACTTTTATTTCTTTTTCCTGTCTGATCATTGAGGCTAGGACTTCCAATTCTGTGTTGAGTGGAAGTGGTGAAAGCAGACAACCTTGTCTTTGATTTTAGCGAAAATGCTTTTAGTTTTTGCCTGTTGAGTATGATGTTGACTGTAGGTTATTCATATATGGCCCTTATTATGTTGAGGTATGGCCCCTTTACTCCCGCTTTGCTGAGTGTTTTTATCATAAATGGATGCTGTACCTTATCAAAAGCTTTTTTCGCATCTATTGATATGATCATGTGGTTTTCATCTTTCCTTTTGTTTATGTGATGTAATACATTTACTGATTTGTGAATACTGAACCATGCTTGCATCCCTTGGATGAATCCCACTTGATCTTGGTGGATGATCTTTTTAATGTATTGCTGGATGTGGTTTGCCAATGTTTTGTTGAGGATTTTAGCGATATAGGCCTGTAGTTTTCTCTCTTTGTTGTGTCTTTATGTGGTTTTGGGATTAGGATGATGCTGGCCTCATAAAAAGAGTTTTGGAGTTTTCCCTCTTTTTGGATTTTTTTGAATAATCTGAGAAGTAGAGAGGTTAGCTCTTTCTTCAATGTTCTGTAAAATTCTCCTGTGAAAGTGTCTGGTCCACTGTCCAGGGTTTTGTGTGCCAAGAGTTTTTGGATTACTGCTTCGATAACACCAGCTGTTATCAGTCTGTTCAGGCTTTCTGCTTCTTCTTCATTCAGTATTGGAAAGTTATATTTTCCTAGAAATTTGTCCATTTCATCAAGGTATTGAAATTTGTTAGCATATAATTGTTCACAGTTATTTCTTACAATCCTTTTTATTTCTGTGGTATCAGTTGTTATTTCTCCTTTTTCATTTCTGATATTTATTTGGGTCCTCTCCATTTTTTTTCTTGATAAGTCTGCTTAAAGGCTTGTCGATTTTGTTTATCTTTACAAAGAATGAGCTCCTGGATTTGTTGATCATTTGAATTGTTCTTTTAGTCTCTATGTCATTCAATTCTGCTCTGATCTTCATTATTTCCTTCCTTTTTTTTGCTCTGGGCTTTGTTTGTTGTTGTTCCTCCAGTTCTAGAAGATGTAGGGTTAAGTCTTTTATTTGAAATATTTCTATCTTTTTTAAGTAGGCCTGTGTTGCTATGAACTTCCCTCTCAGGACTGCCTTTGCTGTGTCCCATAGATTTTGGACTGTTGTGTGCTCATTATCATTTGTTTCTAGAAACTTTTTGATTTCTTCTTTGATCTCATTATTGATCAATTCATTGTTTAAGAGCATTCTATTCAGTCTCCCTGCATGAGTTTGAATGTTTTTGAGTTTTTTCCTTGAGATTGGTTTCTAGATTCAAGCCCTTGTGGTCCCAGAAAATGCTTGTTATGATTTCAAATGTCTTGAATTTGTTGAGGCTTGTTTTGTGTCCTATCATGTGGTCTATCTTTGAACATGTCCCATGTGAATTTGAAAAGTATGTGTATTTTGGTACTTTGGGATGAAAGGTTCTATATGTGTCAGGTAAGTCCATTTGATCTAATGCGTTGTTCAGTTCCACATTATCTTTGTTAATGTTTTGTTTGGAAAATCTACCCATTGTTGACAGTGGGGTGTTAAAATCACCTACTGTCAGTGTTTTGCTGTCTATATCTTTCTTGAAGTCCTCCAAGATTTTCCTTATATATTTGGGTGCTCCTATGTTGGGTGCATATAAGATTACAATGTTTATGTCTCTTGATGGATTCTTCCTTTGAATATTATGAAGTGTCCTTCTGGGTCTCTTTGTATGGCCTTTGCTTTGAAATCTATTTTGTCTGATATAAGTATTGCTACCTCAGGTTTTTTTCCCTATTTGCTTGGAATATTTTTTTCATCCTCTTACTTTCAGTCTGTGTAGTCTTTTTGTTCTAAGGCGGATCTCTTGTAGGCAGCACATGTGCAGGTTGTATTTTCTTATCCATTCAGCTACTCAGTGTCTTTTGACTGGAGCATTTAACCTATTAACATTTAAGGTTATTATTAATAGGTGCACATTCATTATTCCCATTTGTACCTGTATTCCTCTCTCTCTCCCACTCTTTTATTTCCTCTTCTTAAAATAGTCCCTTTTGCATATCTTGCAATGCTAGTGTGGTGTAGGAGTATTCTTTTAACCTTCTTTTGTTAGGGAATTTCCTTATTTCACTTTCCATTTTAATTGAGAGCCTTGCTGGGTAGAGCAGTCTTGGTTGCAGGCCTTTGCATTTCATGACTTAGAATATTTCTTGCCATTTCCTTCTGGCTTCTAGTGTTTCTGTTGAGAAGTCAGCTGCTAGCCATATCAGGGCCCCCTTGTATGTTACTTCCTGTTTCTCCCTTGCTTCCTTTAGGATTTTCTGTTTGTCTCTGATATTTGCTATTTTCATTATGATGTGTCTTGGAGTGGGCCTCATTGGGTTCCTCTTAAATGGGATCCTCTGTGCTTCCTGGACTTGTGAGACTTTTTCTCTCCTCCGATTAAGGAAGTTTTCCATCATTACTTTTTCAAGCAGGTTCTCTATTTCTATCTCCTCTTCTTCTTCTGGTATCCCTATTATATGGATATTATTATGTTTCAGGTTGTTCTGCATTTCCCTCAACACTTCTTCATTTTTTTTGAGTCTTTTCTCATTTTCTTGATCTTTGTGGGAGCATTTTTCTACCTCATCCTCCAGCTCGCTGATTTGATCCTTTGCTTCATCTAGCCTGCTTTTGATTCCTTCTACTGTGTTCTTCAATTCAGAAATGGTATTCTTCATTTCCTCTTGTCTCTTACTGATAGTTCTATGTCTTTTTTCATGCTGATATAGTTTGCAGTAAGTTCCTTGTGGATTCCCTGTAGTTCTTTGTAATTCTCTCTGAGCTCACTGACCTCATTGAGCTTCCTTAGAAGCATTGTTTTGAACTCAGTATCTAAGAGTTTACTTGTCTCTATTTCATTTAGTTCTCTTTGTGGGGATTCTTCCTTTCCCTTTGACTGGCAAGGGGTGTTTCTTTGTTTTCCCATTCTTTGTGAGACTCTTCTTTTTTGCTTCTGCTTCTTATATTGATCTGTCTTGATTTCCTGACTTTGTGGTGTGAACTCCCATGGTAGGAGACTGCTGTTTTTTCTCCTTGGATCTGCCTCTGATGATGTCAGCTGTTGACCCCGTCTGAACTTAGGCAGTCTTTTTGAGACTTGGCCTTGTGATTTCTTTATAAAAAGACTTCCTTCTCACTGATTCCATTTTGATTATAGTTGTTATAAGTTTCCAGGTGTTTATTATTTCTTTACATCAGTTTATATAAATGTGATAATTTACATTTCACAGAATGCGTTTATATTACACAACTTTTATTTACATAAAATTGTTCATATCTTCTTATACCCTGTAAGAAATACTTACAGGGTTTCTAATAATAAATAGCCTTCTTTCTAATTCCTGATGTAGATTTATTTATGCATTCTATTTTATTTATGTTTACTGATACATCATTTCAGGCATGTCTCATTTTTCTTGGGAAGAGAACAACCTTCTTTATCTTTAATTAAAGTCTGTGTACTATAAATTCAGTCAGCTTTACTTTGAGAAATTATTTTGTATTCCTTTTGGAAACATTTTGGCTGGGGAGCGATTTCTGGTTTGACATTCTTTTTATTCAGTACTTTATAAATATTATTCTTCTAACTGATTTGACATTCTTTTTACTCAGTACTTGATAAATATTATTCCTCTCCTAATGTCAGAAGGTTTATAGGAAAAAGCCTTCTGACACTGCATTTTTTTGGTCTTCTGTAAATAATGTTTCCTTTTTTCTTTAGATATTTAAGATTTTTTCATAATATGTGGATGTAATAGATTTTGTTATGGTTACATAGGTATGATTTTGTTTGTTATTCATTCTACATGGAGTTCTCTAAACTTCTGCATATGTGGATTCTTGTGTTTCATTAATTTTGGAAATATTTTGTATCCCTTTTATCTCCCTCTTCTATTTTGTTTTTCCAATGGTATATGTATTACATATATTGATATGGATTTATGATATACCTTTTGGGGTAGCTCTAAAAGACAGTGTCCCCATCCTCACACACATTCCTTAATACTTAAAAGCCCCTTAACTTTGTTATGTGAACTATCTGATACACAAGAAATGTTAATAGAAAAGTACTGAGCCAGGAAGAACATTATCCCAATTATAAATAGAAACTGAAGAGGCTTTAGGGTGAGCACTGTGTAATGCTGAGACCTGAAGCTGGTCAAAAATTTTAAATTTCTTTTACAGCTACACATGAGGTGCGTCCAGATGGTATCCAGCCATGTAATATGAAAAATAGAGACATTTATTGAAGAAGATAGATGATACGAAAAACATTGTACCTAGGACAATGATATCTCAGTCCCCTTCAAAGCAGGCACCTTGGGACCTCACACAGTTCTCCCAAATAACATCAGCTGTCCCATCGTATTTTCCTGGATCTTATCAACAGTCCAAAATCTCTTCCCTTTCAAAGGTGATTTTAGTTTTGGGAAAAGCCAGAAGTCACAAATCTCCAAATCTATGCTATATGGAGGCTGAGTCACTTGGGTGATATGATGTTTCACCAAAAAGCTCTGCAGAAGACTTGATGCATGAGTAGGTACGTTGTTATGATGAAGCTGCCAATCACCAGTTGCCCATAGCTGCAACCTACTGAATCATCTGGATTGTTTCCATGGAGGAATGTTCAAGCTTAACATAAAATTTGCTGGAGATTCATCACTGTACTTGCTCAGTCATTTTGAAAGTGATGGCAACATAATACACATGCTCACTCAGTGGTGTCTACCACTCCCACTGACTAGTACAGTGAAGTCATCATTGTTCATGCATATACATTCCAGTCTCCTCTCCTTAGCTGCCTGAACTTTAAGCCTGTTGTCCATCAGACACTTTTTCCCATCTGACTCTCTGGATATCAGATGTGACCGCATCCAACCGTTGACCTTGCAGATGTGTACAGTACCTTAGCAGATATAGAACAACAGAATAGAAGGAACCTGGATTCCCAAATGACTCTGTGGAACCTAGAGTGGTGGAACTGTAATATGCCTTCTAAACTGTATTACCAGACTTCAAAAGATCTTGATCTCTAATATCCTCAATTTGGTCCTCTCTGATCCTGCTATCAGATAAATGGAATTCAAATATGGCTATGAGGATGCCTCATAACCTTCAAAGCCTCTGCCTGCCTGTGCAGCATAGTCCATGATCCAGGTGATAATCAATCTTTCTATATTATCCTCAGTGAACCTATTATACTGGCTGCATTGGACCAGACTTAGTCTTAGCTTCTGGTCCCTGCTTCTTTATATTTGCTCATTCCCTTACTTTGCATTAAAATATTTTTCCTCCAATTACTTTTTGTTCAAAAGTGAGTCATTCTTTAAGATCCAACAAAAATGGGACCTTTTCAGTGAAGCCATCTCTAACTTTGCCTAATAAAAATAACTATTGCTCTTACTGAGACAAGCACTTTACGTGTCTCTGTAAACATCATTTTAGCACCTATCATTTTGGCTTTATTTTATATTTGCCACCTTCAATGTATAGGTTGTCCAAAGGTGAGAACCTTACTTTCTTCATCTTTAAATATGCAAAAGCAATGGGCTTCACAATTTTATTATCTGTACCAGTGAAATATACCACCATGTGTTGGGAAAAAGAAAATAGCATTGCCCAAATTAAAAATACCAAATAAAGACAAATTATAAAAATTGTCTAACAATATCACACAATAAGAATACATTTTAACTCTGAAAATAGAAGTCTGGAATATAAACTCATCTTAAAAGATGAACATTCCAGTAAAAATATGATTGGCAATATTATATCATATATTTAAAGAAATAAAGGAATTTTAATTTTTCAATTTTCAATGTATTTTCTGATATTGCAGTCAATGTAACAGTTTTCTTGGAACAAGGTCTTCGTTTTAGTAATGTATTTTTGATAATGCTATACAAATGAATTTCTAACATCTAACTGTTGTTACTTAGTTTTTATCATGTATCAAAGAGCCAATTTCATCAAACTGATTGAAGAAAGTGGAATTGACACTTTAATGTCTTTGAAATCTATTCAGAATATTCTAGGCAGAGAAAGATAGGCAATGAAACTAACCCAAAACTGTTCCAATAACACAGCTCCTACATATATCAATCTGGAAGGCAACAGATGGAGCAAATGATTAATTTAATTATACATTTCTTGGTCTGTAGTTTAATACAGTGGAACGCTTTAAAATTATATATTTATTTTTTTCTGAATTAATGGTAATACTAAGGGAAACCTTAATAGAAGATAAAATCAGGAAACTGAGAGAAAATATTTATGGCACTGTCAACTTTTAAAAATGCGTTGGTGATTTTGATTTCTTTGCTCATTTTGAATAAATACTTCTGAGTTTGCATTTTTATATTATTTTATTCGTGCAAACACTCAAAACTAATACACTCCGGACCTTTATGATCCCCCAAGCCACCACACACACACAAAAATCAAAGGATATGCTGCAAAATACCGATTATCTGTGGACTGTAAAATTTGTTAATGAAAAATGACTTATGTTAATAAAAAGAGTACTTAAAATGAGAGAAAGAAATGGCCTTAAATGAAAAACTAAAACAAAACACCCAAGTTTACATTTGCCAGCCTGCTGTTAAGGGCTCACATTCAGCCTGGGCTCTGTGTTTATTGTGGGGTCAGGGCACACAAACCAAGGGCGGAGGAGGGACCAGCTCGTCGAAGCAAGATGTGGAGAAACCAGGGATCGTCCTTCTTGTTTCGCCCCCACCCTGGGACCTCTAGTCTCCTTAACAAACAGGAAAACCCTTAACAATTAAAACCACTTTTTGCGCGTGTCCTTTCGAATTCGTCTCTCCTCAACCAAACTCATAACTATGTGGCCGTAATATCCAGCTGGATGATGTTCAGTTGCTAAAGACTACAGTCGGGACCGAGGACCCAGACTCAGGAGGTGCGCGCGAGGGAAGAGCGAGGACAGTTGCGAGAACTTGTCCCCTGTCTGTGGCACCCGCACCACATAAGTTCCTCTCAGACTTCGAGTTCCATGTACAGGTTCGTAAGAAAACAACAACAAGAAGGCCTGTCCAAGCGAACGTCCCACACTAGAGGTGCAGGGTCTGAAAGCACTGTCGGGCAGGGAAGCTGCTGGAGATGAGAGGCGGGGGCCGGAGCAGGTGGGCACCGGCAGGGAAAGCCCTTGCGCGCTTTACTCCGAGAATGTCAGCCTTTGCGATGCTACCGGAGGCAGCGGCAAGGCGCCCCGGAGCGAGCGTGCAATGTGCCTCCGGGAGACCCTGGCTTCTCCTAGGGGACTCAACTCGTGGCTGCGCAAAGAGCCCTAAGTTGGTGAAGGACTGCCCCTTATCTCATCTGCGAAAAGGGGCTAAAGTCCTCTCTGGGGCTGATGGAGAAAAGCCTAATTCCTTGCAGAGGTGCTGGGTGGAGTGGCTTCCTCCCTATCTTCCCTCCCTGCTTTGCACTTTTTCTAACTGGCCCCTGCTAGATAAATACTGGAGAAACAGAGATAAAATTGGTCCTCAACATGTACTAAAATACTTAAAAATTTTTTTGTATTAACCATACTTAGTGTTCAAACAATTCCAACAAGCTCCACTTCTATAAAATAATTCATTCTCAGTCTATTTAATCAACCGTTAAGAGTGACTATAAGGTCTAAGCTTTTTTTTTTTTTCTTTCTCTCTTCCCCTTGCACTGCTTCTGAATGTTTGGTCCCTACCAAAAAAAGAAAAAAGGAAAAAAGACATAAATTGCCTTTACTTCCAGGTTCAGATTTTTGCTTTGTTTCCTTTCCATCTTCTATATACTAGCAATGAAAAAGTGGGAGGAGGAAAGGGAGCAAGGAGAGTGAGAGAACACTGGGAGCTCGTTCTTGGACACACTTACCCAAGGAGCTGTTGGGCAGAACTGCTAATTCACAAACTTTTGTTTGCATTCAATGGGGTCTTGAGCTTAAACCTCTCAATTTCTGTCTCAAAATGGCCTCTGAAGAATGGAGTGGTAAGGGCGCCTATAGCCTGATAGTCTGGACTGCAGAGTTCAGCTGTGGCTTCAGTTCTGGGAAAGCTCAGCCTCTCATTTGGAGCAGAAGTGGCTGTGAGGTGAGAACCCTGCAGCGTGGCACATAGCCAGGACCTCCACAAGTGGAGTGGAAAGGTCAGGTACATGAAGAGATGAGAAATTAGGTTTTTCTCCTGGCTCTTTTTTATGGGGTGGGGGGGGGGGGTGTAAAGAAAATTTCTTCATCCAGGGTCCTCATTTGAATTTGCATTAGGATGGATTTATCACTGGTTTTCAACCTTGACTCCACATTAGATTAGATTCACCTCCTACACTCTTTGTTTTGGTGACAAGAGCAGACTGGCTCAGAGACCTCTGGCTGCCTTTATTTACTAGAGGGGAAAATAATAAAAGAGAGCCAAAACAGAAATGGGCTGCCTAAAGTTTGCAGCCTCACCCCCATCACCAGTCACATCCTTAAAATTTGGAAAACACATACGGGCTGCAAATCACTGCTCAGGCCCAAGCTTGCTTTGGACTCTTTGGGCAGCTTCTTTCTTGGTACATCCTAAAAATTGGACAGAAGCAACTCAGTGCCTCTTATTTTTTCTTATTTAAAAACTACTTATTTTCTGGGAGAAATCCTATGGCAGACATGTCCAGGAGTTATGCAGGTCCATCTGAGGGCATTTTGGTTCTGGGTCTTTCCACATGTATATTTTTCAAACACTTACAGGGAGAGTGCAGAAATTGAGTGGTTTTCTGGTTATTCCTCATTAACTTTTTATTAATACATACTTTTTATTGGCCTATAACTTACATCTATTTGTTGATTTTGATGCACACTCCTATTCTGAAACAAATCAATCTCCCAGTGACTATTTTCCCACATGGGATGATCCTTGAATTTTGGGGCCAAAAGGATTTTAATGACTTCTCAAAAAGGATAAAAATCAAAAGCTGTTTCCCCTCTTGAACCAAAAATTCCTTCAGTCCCTTGAATATTATAAATGGTTCTATAAATATTATATTTCATTGATCTGTCATATGTCAAAGTGGACTTGTCAATTTAAAAACTCAGATTTTGTTGAATACTTGCCATCCTCATCACCAGTTCTATAGCTGTTCTGAACAGCTAGGACCATGAGACAGAAGAGATGCACAAAATCTGTGTCTTTACAATTAATGGCTACGTCCCTAGGTCATCCTAGTGCCATGTCATTCCTCAGGATCATAAGCTTCATTGCCTTAGGTCCTAAGAGAGGATATTGGATGAGGTGACAACTTTGCTTCTCACAATGATGACCCTGCTCTGGCTAGGGCTACTCTATTGCATTATAAGATATGGCTGTCTTGACACACTAATAACATTCAATCTGAAATCCTCATGGCATTGGGATTGGGAGTACTTTGGCCCTTGCCAAGATTCACTGTAAGGGCAGAACCAAAAGTTGAATTTTTTATCATAGGGCTTAGCTTATGCTAACTGTGCCAGGAATGTAGCAAGAAAGAATAACCAAAACTCAGAGCTGCCAAAGTGCAGCCTAGATGTGAAAACCTTTTTTACAGAGAAGCGCAAGGCAGTGATCATCACTGTTATTGTTGGAATGGTGACTGAAGACCTCCAGGTAAAGTTGTTGATATTAGCATTTCTTTTTGGTTACTCATTTTGTGTTTCTTTCCTCAGTTTAGCTGACACATAATTAATGGATAGAGTTTCTACTAGGACCAAATTGTAAGCTGTTGAATAGGTTAGCCTTAGAAGTTGTCAGGGCATAGATGAATTTTAGAAGAGAAAGGACCAAACACTTAAAGTTACCCAAGTCTTGCTTTGGTAAAGACTTTCTTTCATCAGTCTGCGGCTTAGACGACAGACCTACCTTTACTCCTTCTAGTCCCTGAGCTATACATATGAAAGTGACCAAGGAAAAATCGAGTATTAATATTTAGAGCTGGAATAGCTGAGATTTTCTCAAGGCCTTTCTCTCCCCATTTACTTCATGGAAATAGCACCAGTGGAATTAATATTTTGTTAAAAGTAAATACATGGCCAATTGTAATAGCTAGTTTTATTGTAGCAAGTTTGTCATTCCACTTTTTGATTTCAACTATATTTAAGATACCAAGTCATTAAAAAATTCCTAAAAGTTAGTATATTTTTAGCTATGATTTGTAAGTTCACATTTTGTTTCATACATAATTTAAAAGTTTAATGATTAAAAATGATTAATTTTTGTTTTTGGACACACAGTGTATGAAGATGTCATTTTTTATATCAACAACAAAAAAAGGGTGGGAATAAAACTCTAAAGGAGAGAGTTTTTGTATGTTATTCAAGTTAAACTGGTATAAATTTAAATTAGATGTGATAAATTTAGAATGTTAAATTAAATCTCCATGGTAACCACATAAAAATAGCTATAAAATATATAAAAAAGGAAATGGTTGGGGAATTAAATTTTTTTTAGTGCAAAATGTCAGCTAAACATGAAAGAAGACAGTATTGCAGAAAATTAGGGATTAAAAATATAAAGCATAGAAAAAACAAATAGCAAAATGATAGAAGTAATTCCCCTTTAAGTATAAATGAATTAAACTCTACAGTCAAATGATAGACTGGCAGAATTTATTTTTAAAAACCCATGATAAAACTGTATGTTGCCTACAAGATATTTACTTTAAATTTAAAGACACAGTCTCAAAGTAAAATTGTGGAAATCAATATTTAATGAAAATAATAATGAAAAGACAGTATGGGTGACTATACAAGTAATGGAAAAACTAGAGTTTAAAATGAAAAAGTTACAAAATACAGAAAGGCATTATATATTAATAAGAGGTATAACATAGAAAAGATATAATTGTACATCATTTACACACCTCATAATAGACCTTCAAAAAACATACACAGCAAAAATTGGAATTGAAATTAAACAGTTCTACTATAATATAGGAAAGCAATAGAGAAAATCAATGAAGCCCAAAGTTGGTTGTTTAAGTTGATCAACCAATTGACAAACCTTTTGCTAGATTGGTAATGAAAAAGAGAGAAGATACAAATATTGAAATCAGAAAGGAAAGTAACTCACATAGAGTCTTTCCTCAGGATAATTTCAAAAAGGAAATTACTACCAATTTTATAGGAAAAAAGGATATAAGAGAGTACTATGAAAAATTGCATATCAGCAAATTAGATAACTTAGGTGAACTGGACAAATTCCTAGAGAGGAGAAATTTACCAAGACTAAATCACACTAAAAATCATTTTTGACATGCAATTGGTAAGGATATTTAATTAGTAATCAAAAATTTCCTGAGAGAAGAAATACAATCTGATGGCTTTATTGGTGAGTTCTACCAAGCATTTGAGGTACTAATACCAGTTCTCAAACTTTTAAAAACAATTGAGGATGAGGAAATTCTTCCTAATTCATACTATGAGGCTACTATTATGCTGATACCAAAAACACACAAAGACACTACAAGAAATGAAAACTGCAGACCAATATCTTTGATAAATATTTATGCAAAAATCCTCAACAAAATGCTAGCAAACCAAATTTAGCAGCACATTAAAAGAACTATATACACATGACCAAACAGGATTTATTCTTGAAATGCAAAGATGTTGCAACATACAAAAATGGATCAATATAGTATACCAAATTAATAGAATGAAGGGGAAAACAAGCACATCATCATTTCTAGTTACGCAGAAAAAAACTGACAAAACTCAACAACTTTTTATAATAAAAATACTCTACCAACTAATTTAACCAAGAAGGAGAAGGACTTGTGCAATGAAAACTATAAAACACAGGTGAAAGAAATTTAAAAAGACAAATAAATGGGAAGACATCTCATGTTCATGGATGGGAAGACAATATTGTTGAGATGTCATTACTACCTAAGGTGATCTACAGATTCAGTGAAATCCCTATCACAATCCCAATGTTCTTTTCTTTTTGGTAGAAAGAGCAAAATCCATCTTAAAACTCATGTGGAATCTCAAGAGGCCCTGATACTCAAAAATGATCTTGAAAAGAACAAAGCTAGAGGACTCATAATTCTTAGTATCAAAACTCACAGAACGTACAAATTTCTAGTAATCAATTGTGTGATATTGACATAAAGACAGGCATATAGGCCATTGGAATAAAACATAGAACCTACAAATAAACCCTTGCACATTTATGTTCAAATGGTTTTCAACAAGAGTACCAAGACCATTCAATGGGGAAAAGACTTTAACAAATAGGGCTGGGAGAACTGGATAACCACATTCAAAAGATTGAAGTTAGACCCTTACCTAAAGCCATAAACC